ATGAGGAGTAATATCGTAATGTATTTGTTGACCAACAGTTTAGGAAGAAGAGAAAAAAATTATAAATATTTCCTAGCTTCTAATTCAAATGGCAGTATGAATGGTTCATCACAGTGCTCCGTACTCTACCCGCTACTCCCATGTAGCTCAACTGGCCAAGGATTCTCTCAGCAACTGGCTGCAGCAGACCCTGTGCCTATTTATAAAAAACAACCAGAACAGACCCCTTAGAATTTAGCAGTAACTGCTCTGACTATCCCACTCTGGACCTTGAAATTGACCTGCTCCCAAGCCATTTAAGAATAAAAATAACTAAACAGTCTTCTCCCAAGCCTCCAGTAAAGACGGAGTCTTTTTGCACCAGTGATCACAGGTGTAGAGCTGGAGGGTTGTGTACCAAGATAGGATCAGACTACTCTTATCTTCAGGACATTTTGGTTTCATATGAGAAAATAATGAAATGAAGTTTTCAGACTGTGGGAAGGACTAATATTTTGCAGAGTGGTTATTCTACTAACAGATACAATGGATCCAGTATAATCTCCAGAAGGCATGAGGTGTTCAAAAAAGTTAGATCTGTGAAAGAAAATGAATTTTAGAATCTCTGATGTTACAATCTCCTGCTGAATAAAGTATGGAGAAGTGAATAAAGTATGGAGAAGTCTCGGGATAAGAAAAAGAAAGTGACAATGAAACAAATCCCAGGCAACACACTCCTTGGAAATCTTTCCTGTTGCTTGAGTTACATACACACAAACTATATTTCTATTTCTGTATTTAAAACCACCATCTGCAGCTCTACTACACAATCCAAGAATTAGGAGAGCTGAATATATTATGTGCATAAAGCTTATGTAAAGCTATTATAATAGTTATTTCATATGACTAAAATTTCAACTAAACTACGTTGCTTCCTTAAGACGTCAGTATAGTGTGCAAGCAACAAAGTATGACAAAAAGTATATATTAATAGTTATTTTAAAACTGAAGAATAGAGGAAGAGTAATAATTTATCCTAGGTTTTTATTTGCTTATAAACAACTTTGTAGAAACACCTATGGTTCAGAAATTACAAATGAACATTAGTCACTCTGTCATACAAATGCCCTCAAAGCAGAGACCACTTGTGCCATCTTTGTACCTCTGATTGATGTGTCACCCAAGATAGAGATGAAACCCAGGGTGAACCTGCGCTCTTACTCGCAGAACAGAACCTTTTAGGTCTTTCTGTATAGTTTTCAGGAAAGAGAGAGTCAGTGTTAACAAACGAAAGCCACTTCCACCTTCCAAGGAATTAAATAAACATTGCCTCTGGAATTGAGCAGAGCAGGTGAGGATTCTCCTCAGCCACTGTCCATCCTCCAGCTATTGAGAAGCAGCACAAAGACAAGAAAGGCAATTATAGACTATACTGATTGAATAATAAAATTGCAACTGCACTGTGTCTGGAAACTTAACGCCAAAATCATGAGGCTGCCTCATTCCTAATTCGCACACATTTCAGGACCTGCTTCCCCTTTGAATAAAGGTGTTATTTGTCCAGGAGTTTACTTTGGTTTTCCAGGTTTTTGAAGTTGCTTGGAGATTTGTGTTATACACTTAAATGTAACTGAAAGGTGTTAGGGTTTTAACAGGCTATTTTTGTGATGTGATATACCAAAAAAATCTAATAAACAAGTAAATTCAGGCGGAGCTAATTAAGCTATTCCTTTATTTTTTCTTATTCCCATCACCTACAAACTACAAATAAGAACATTGTTTTCTAATTCTCAACTGAACTAGTGACTCTACTCCTCTCAAAGTATAATTTTTAAACATGAAGCTATCACAGTATTAAAATACATGCCCACCCTTATATAAGTCTCCATGTAATTATAGTTTTATATAATTAGAGTTTCGTGTCAAAAGATTTACAGCTTTATCACCTCAAGCAACATTCAGAGCTGCCAAGAATGATTTATGCAATAATGACTTAAACTGTAAAATAGAATTCTCAAAGGAAGGGCTGTCAAGTGCTTCTACTTCAGATAAGTGGGTTTTTAAGAATTGATATTCTGGTAAACAGCAAACTCTACTCTACCTAGAACAGTCACATACTGAGCAGGGTAGGAAGTATTGCTTCTCAGTGGGCTACGCTTCCATTGGAACTCACTGCATACATCTCTGGCTCGCACTGCTTGGGAAACCACTGGGCCCCTTCAGAAAATAAGCTTTCAGATTTAATGTTTTACTCCTCAAAACAGTTTTACTGCTTCACCATGAATGGTAAATGTAGAATATAGCAACTGTTCCTAACTTTCTCATTGTGTTCATTGCATAACATGTATTTCATTGAACTGCTAAATTAATAAGCAAAGAAAGCATTTACTAGAGATCCAAGAATTAAGGAGCCAAACCATCACACTAAATGACCTTAGCTAAAAGGAATTAAGGAAACTTTAACAAACAAACCAAAGAAAATGTTTCCATGTTTTTTTTTTTTTCTGGCTGTCTGCTTTTATGAATACAAAGTGACTTGCAGCAGGTCAATAAGAGGTGAGACTATCAAAGCATTTGAATGTCATAAGCCTTCACTGATTTTATAGCTGTCATGTAAATACACCAGTAAACACTCAAGATTCTATTCAATGTATCTGAACTAGCATCAAAGCTAACCACTAGTTTATTGCATCCCAAGTAGGTAAACATATCTATATCTTAACAGCCACCAAGGGAATTTAATTTAATATGTTTTGCTTGAAAAGTAGAAAGACTGAGTTCATCTATTCATTTCCTCCACCAACTAAATCTAAATAGACAGTTTCTTGGTACCACTTAAGATACTCTACTCTTTCAAAGTGTGTCACACCTGAAAGAAACATCAATAGAGAAAGTTTTCGCCAAAAACTTACATTTCTATACTTTGACAGGCTTCCAAAGACTCCTTGTATGAAAAAAAGTGGCTTTAAAAAAAATTCGTATAGCTAAGGAAACCATTCAGGCATCGATTTGCAATGGTCAATGCACTGACATCTTTACTACAGACTTTGCAACCAACAAGTCTGTGTTTAAATATAAAATTCTTTTTCAAAAGTGTTCTGAGCTCATTTTGTGATTACAGCAAATAAACTTCCACATTTCAGTTACCCCATAATAGATACAATTCCTATTTAAAACCATTTTGGAAAAGGTACTTAGTACCTAACTGATTTACTCAGAGCAGAACTTTAATTTTTTTAAGCTGAAAAAAAATTCTGCAATAGCCTTGAAAATATATCAACCAATAATGGACCAGCATGCCTTGAACAGCCACAACACAGACCATGTCAACCTTATCCTTTAGCAGTCAGAGAGGAAACAACACTCAACTACTTACACTTTCAAAAGTCTAGTTTCCTGGCATCATGTAGACAAAAGAGGTAAGTTGCAGTGTTTGGTGACAGTCTCTATATAGAAATATTTGTAGACAGTGGAACCTTTGGGCTATTTATAATACACAGTGCCACTGATCAAAAACTAAGAGTAAACTGGGAAGAATTTCAGAAACAAGCTCTGTGCTCTTTGATAATCATATAATTGCTCTCATTCTAGAGCAATACAAAGTTATACAAACCTGTTTTTCCAGTAATACTTGATTGCAAATACCCACTCAAGTCTAACTTCATACACTGGAAAAATCCCGTAATTAAGAATTGTACATTTCATATCATGAAACATTTAATTATAAGAAAATAAGAAAAAGAATTATACCTTTCTTTTGCTACTTTTCTCTGCAGTTTTCAAAGGAGTCATGATATAGTATAGACTACAATATGACAAACATTTGCCAAACTTAAGTATTTTCTAAAAATCTGAGCAGATTCTCCTCAGCCTCATCAATTTTTGTACATACAACAGGAAGAAATAGATGAATCAATATTGGCAAAACTACAATGTACATGTATTTTACAAGTATAAAATTACTAAATTGGCAAATGCCATTAAGTGTGCACCCTATGCATCTATATTTACGTTAAAAAACATTATGTGAGTATTCATATATAGTAACCTATTTATATTCCATTATCTATATCTGAATATCTATCTATCTATCTATCTATCTATCTATCTATCTATCTATCTATCTATCTATCTATCTATCTATCTATCTAATGAACACACATGTGAATGTGTGTGTGCATGTGTGTGTGTGTGTGTGTGTGTGAGAGAGAGAGAGAGAGAAGATGTATTTGTGTGTGTGTATGTGTGTGTGTGTGTGTGTGTGTGTGTGTGTTACAGTATACATGCATGCACACTCTTCCTAGGGCAAGGCTATAAGAAGGTAGTGTGTCCTTAAAGTTGAAATAATGGCCTTAACTTTGAAGTGATAGTTTATGGTAGACAAGTAAATACTAATAACCCTGCACACTCACAGATCCTTTTCTGAATTTCTCACAAGTAATGTCTTCTATAATTCTTATTTTATAACATATGAATGTACCCAAGTTTAGTGGCTCAGTTGTAGAAGTTAGTATAAACTCTGCTTAATCTTCTCTAAAAACAAAGGAAAGAGACAAGAAGTTCCATCCATCAACATTTAAAAAGCCAAGAAACAATCATAACTGTACCAATCTTCAATTTAGATTACACAGTCTCCAAGAAGACCTTGTGAAATACGTTCAAATGCAGGCAAATAAAATGTGTTTCTCTCACATTATGCATAGAATGATAAAAATGGTGAATTACCAATCTTCACATCATTCCTTTAAAAAGTGTCAGGGCTGACTTATGACATTCTTGTCCTTGGTGACATTAAGTTACTGCACCTCTACAGAGTTCAAACAAGGTACCTTTACATAAAGAAGGATTTTTTCCTACTGGGCCAATAATAAGAACATTCATATTTCTTGGATACTAAGACTTTATATTAAAAATTCATCTACAGTTAATTATATGGGGTTTCTCTGCATATGAACTTCGAGCAATCAAAATTTCATTTCAAGGGAATCAAATACAAGGAACCTTAAACAGGTTCACTTTACCATTTTTATGATAGTAGGTGACCTCCACTTTCCTCTCCTCTGACCCCAGCAACGCCTGGGCAATTTGGGCAATATCATGCCTCTTGGTCTCAGGCCCGTGGAGAAAGTCGCAGGTGCACGGCTTCTGCATGACATCTGGCCTGGAGAAACCAGTCATCTCACAGAACCCGTCATTGCAGTAGATGATGGCACAGTTCTGCACTCTGGCATTTGCAATGATAAATTTTTTATCTGCGATAAGAAGAGGGTAAGGCATCTTTTAAGAATCTTCCACAAGGTTCTCACAAACACTAAAACAATTTGTTGCATAATAAGGGTCTGGCATGCAGTTGCTTTCCCAAGATGCTAATTACTTAAGCCCTTCCCAGAGAATTAAAAATCACACACACACACACACACACACACACACACACACACACACACACCTCTATAAACTTTAAATGTGAGATCAGTGGCAGTAAGTAATTTAATAGAAGGAATTAGGAAGATTATTCTTCAATTGCAAGATCAGAAGTTTCCAAGTTGTCTAGATCTCAAGCCCTGTGACTCCCAGGGGTCCTAGTGACAGGCAGAAAGCAGCTTGTCAATGGAGAATTCCAGAATGCCATTTAGTTGTATGATAAAATTTTTCCAAGCCAGAAAATTGAAACATCCTGAAACTGTCAGATTTCTCACTTCCACTTTGACTGGATCTTAGAATGCAACTTTCTCTTGGATTTTTTTTTCTTGATATTTGTAAGGAAGGCATATATGTTTGTAGCTTTTACACATGCTTGTTTTTTTAAGAAAATTATCTTTAGCGATGAAATGACTCCACATTTATTAACAACAAATAATGTAAAGCTTCACATTTTCATAATGTCCAATTCCAAAAGATAAAAAAATACACACATATGCATTAAGCATGGTGATAACACATTTCTAGAAACTTTTTCTTTGTAACAAGGTAGAATTTTTGTGTAATAGTAGATATTTTAATGCAAATCCCACTAAGTGTGATAGCAAACTGTATTTGCTATTTCCACAAAGAATATGAAGCAGAATAGAGAAGTTAATGTCATACACAGGCACCATATCTGCACATCGTTAATTGCAGTACTGGAAAATTTGTAAAGTGTGCAACATAAATGTACGCTGAAGTAGATTCAGTGCAGAATATAAATGGACAACTATAGGATTTTCAACTACTAGATTTATATAAAATAATTAATTTCTGGTGGTTTGCTTACATGAGTACATTAAATTTATCTATATTCAGTCTCTGTGGGATTTACAGACTGCACTTTGATTTTTAAATTCTCAGACGGCATATTTAGGGGAACAACAGAGACACACAAATATGTTTTTTGAGTAGTGAGCTTCTTACACTCCAAACCAGACCACTGCTCTCCAAATTATTCTTTGACGTCTATTTTCAGCTTCCGTATAAAGTTCAGTTTTAAGAGCCAACTAACATCAAGCAAGCATCCTTGACATTCCACAGCCCAGCAGTTTACCAAGATAAAACACAGTTTGCATAGCCATTTACATCACTACTACCGTTTACATGTCCTTGTTCCCAGCCTGTGGTGGGCTCTGCTCCTGACTTTAAAAAGTCTGCCACAGAAAAGGAGCCTTATAATGCAAGCCAGTATTACACCAGCACGTTCCCTTTAAGGTAGTAGACTAGTAGGGCATGAAGTAGCAAGGCAGATAATGGAGCAGTGGGAGAGGAGGATCAAATTGCCTTGTACAATGGAGTCCATAATCTAAAATGTAAATCCAAATTAATATTAGAGAGAGAGAACACTCCCGCTGCCATCCGAACTGCCTGGCTGGCTTTCCCAGCCTCTAACTTGACAGACCGGAGTTGTCCATCTCTCTAGCTTGGAAGCGACGGACGCCAAGTGCTCTACCAAAGCTGAAAGCGAGCGACAGGAGAGAACAAACGAACTTACTCTGTCCTTCAAATTTCCGTATGATGGTCCCCAGGAAGGTGTTTTGCGGTGCCACATGCCCCCTGCGAACAGGCATGTTGCCCGGGTCTTAGCCGAGCGCTCCGAGCTCGGAGTTCTCCCGGGATGTCTCCCGGGCTAGAGCCCAGGCCGGCGCGCAAGCCGCTCTTTGTGGCAGCGCATCTTCTTTGGAGAGCAGAAACCTCTTCCCATTAGCACCACTTCGAGACACCCGCGTTCCCCGCCGGAATCCAATCCATCCCGCTCACCTACTGGAGGGGGCCTTGCACCGGCCTGCCGCGGGTGAGAGGCTTTGGGGGCGGGGAGGGGAGGAGGCGGGGTGCGGGAGGCGGCGGGGGAGGGCCGAGGAACGCGGGGGGCGGGCAGGGCCGGGGGGGGGGGCGGGGAGTCACAAGGGCAATCGATCTGTTTCTCTTCTCCCAAACAGCGCCAATTTCCCAGTGCAAATGGGCTTAACCTGGCTGTTGCCCAGAGCCCCAAGGATTGCTGGTGGGCGGGGGTGGGGTGGGGTGGAAGACTTGTGCGCCTTTTGCAGGAAGGGGAAAAAGAAAAGGAGGCAGGGTGGGGGTTGACGTTTCTGTCCCCGCCCTCTCCCCCTACACACACACACACACACACACACACACACACACACACACACACACACACACACACACACTTTCAGAGATCCAGCAGCTGTCGCTTGGGCGCCGCCACAGCTCGGGTTACTCAAGCGTGCCTTAGCGGAAGGCAGCCAAGAAATCTCCAAAACTCAGTGATAAAACAGCTACTCTGG